ATACACGACCTTGACTCCTTGAGCTAACAAAGGATAAGATAGCTTATACCTTTTCGTTGTAAGGGTCATACTTCTTTGAGAAGTATTCAGCGAAGTGTACTCTGTGTTTGAGTTAAATCGTTTCTCTACATTTGTGCTTGCATTTCGGAGCTGAATCGGATGAGAACGTGCTTCATTTCCTCGACTATAACCTTGTTTCACGGTTGTTGACTTCCGATAGTATTTTATTACCCAATCTCTGCTCTCTACATTGTTTTGAAAGCAAGGCACATAATCTGCATAATCTTCGGCCCGATTTGACGCCGAGAAAGCTTTTGTGCTGCTGAAACCCTGCGATCGTTTTCGTAGTTATGTCCACAGAACGAGGGCGAAGCGAAACGATTTTCCCAGCATTGTCGAAGTGTGCATGGGCAGAAATCAGAGACAGCCAGCGGTCAATTTGCGGGCTCATGCCTGTTTTCGATTTCTTTCAAAATGATAAAATTGTGTTAAAAGTAGAGAATCAAGCTTTAAAGTATATTTTATATCTTTAAAGGTGATCTAAAAGTACCAAAAGCCTTCTTTCTTTAAAAAAAGTGTTGCGCAATCCCCATACGTTTTAGTCACGCTTGTTGTCACGGGTTGTTACGGACATCACACCAAAGCCAGATAAAATATAGAATCTGCTATCTTTACAAAACAGCGGTTTTCCCACGTATCATAACATGCTCCATGTAAGCTTTCCCGACTTTGATGTTCAAAAATGGTGGACTCTTGTTTTGTGCTGCAGAAGCGGCAAAAACTGTTCATTTCTTCGGCAATTTCGGGCGCCATTGGCTCATAAATTCCTCAATATCTTTAACTTCTTGAGGAACTTTTTGGATGCAACATTCTGCCGTAGAAATGGTTTAAAATGAAAGATAATAGGCCCAAGTTTGTACCGCGATGCTCGCAGGTCTTCGGCGGCACTTTTCTCTTCGCGTACAATGGCTTCAATGTTGGTAGCCGATATACAGTGTTTGTATGGCGAGATCAATATGACTGTTGTATGGCGCTGGGGTAATTTGCCGAGTAACCGAGAGGAAATGAGTAAGAACCTCAAAACTTCGCACAAAGTAGCCTTATCCTGCCACAATAACATACCGATGCTCGCAGGTATGAAATTCCTTTTCACTCCAATGTAATTTGTAAGAATTTCTCTCCCGCCATACAAATCCTTATTAGAGTCAGACATGTTTAAAGGCCCTTAGGATCCACAATGCGCATGCTAAGCGGCCATGCTGTCCTTAATTTCTGCCCATGGGGACTTGGCACAAGTAACGATGACCGATATGTCAGCTTAGAATCTTGGTCGTGGCATTGACTATCGCTATCTGAGCCACTAGATGAATCCTGGTATCGATAGCTCGGTCGTTCGTCAAGCCTTGCTTGAGACATCATGCGATGGCGAAAACCCTCCAAAACGATATAAAACTAAGACTAGAATCAATTGAAAAGTCATCGGCACAATCAAGCAGGTACAAGAACACTGGACTGTGGTGAACACGTGATGTTGCCTAAGCTCACGAGACAGGAGTTGGTACCGCTTCCCCCCCCCCCCCCCCCATTCTCGCAAGAGACAAGAAAACGTGTCATTTGACATATAATAAATACTTTACCGGTCAAGCTTGTTCTAGCAAGCCGATACGGCCTTGGTTTCTTTGAGTTTTTTGTGTCGAGTTCCATAAAAACTCGCGCAAAAAAAAAAAGAACAACAACAACGAACGAGGCCAATACTGGGCCGAGAAGGCGTGGTTATTAAAGTACATACCGGTATATTCAGTGGCAGCTAAACTTTTTACTGTTCCTCACTCATAACCCGCCCATAAAAAGTTAGCCTGCGAAAACATCCGTTTCTCCTCGCTCTTCGCCGCTAGGGACGTTTCGCGAGGAGGAACTCCTCGACGTCCCCAGCGGCGAAGAGCGAGGAGAAACGGATGTTTTCGTAGGCTAATAAAAAGTACTTTTTGGCTGCGTATTTTTAATTCAAGTTTTCATCATAGACTGCAAAACAGTCGGTTTGTTGCTCAAAATCGGTTTTGCAAGAGGCGTAGCGCCGGCGACGGCGTGATGTTTTCGCGCGAAGTATTTGGGCCTCACACTCCCGTGGTGACTCTCCTCTGTCTCACTCTCCGTCTTTATCCTCACTCCAGACCTTTCCTTTGACCACTCACTTGCGCGCGCATTCTTAACCTAAGCAAAACTACGGGTAATCTGCTACACAGCCGTTTTTAGCGTCGTTACGCAACGCTCCTCCCCACTAACTAGTGGGTAGGAGCGTTGCGTGATGACGCTAAAAACGGCTTTGTAGACTAAAGTACTGGCCGTTTTGGAGTTTGTAATAAATATATTGGAGTGTGTAATAAATATATCAAAACTTCTGCTTTAAGATAAGCAGTGTAAATCCTTTTAATTCGACATTTTTGATGTCTTCTTTTTCTTTTAAGATGGATGAAAAAGATATCTTAACCAAGAAGGTAGAAGGTTTCAACACTCTTTGTAAGTATGACATAACGCTTTCAAACTATGTCCTAGGCCTCACGATTACACAAAATAAAATATAAGAAAAGAATATAAACATCACAAAAAGCCAAAATCGTGATTTCCTTCCTTCCTCATTTATGAACTTGATTTCTTCATAGTTTTTCGGGTGGCGTTTCATTTCTTGGAAAATTTTTAATCCAATCCAGGCATCCAGAGCAGCGTATTCTATCTGTGTAAACGTTAAAGGATACTTTTCCCAGTTACTCTTTGCTGTCTTCTTGTTAAGCTCAATTCCCAGAAATGTTTGGGCGAGTGCTTTCAAGCCTGTCTTCCTCATTGAGGGATCGATTTTCTTTGCCATCAACTGAATGTCTGCTAATCCTTCTAGAACCAAACCTAGATCTCTTTTGAGCTTTGAACCGTCTTTCTGTATGTCGCTTCCAACTTTAAGGATGTCTTTGTCTCTGAGTACAAGCTTGAGCGATTTCGGAAGCCTGTCCATGTAATAAACGTGTAAAACTAAACAAGAGTTCTCAACGGCTAGTTGAACGACGGCGGTTTCGTTTTCGGTTCCTCCGTACTTTTTGCTAACAAACTGAGGTTTCCACTCAATATCAAACCCAACCGCCGATACTTGTGTAGGACAATCTATAACATTGTATTTTAGCCATTTCTCAGCCTCCAATGCGTCAGTGGTATACACGACCTTGACTCCTTGAGCTAACAAAGGATAAGATAGCTTATACCTTTTCGTTGTAAGGGTCATACTTCTTTGAGAAGTATTCAGCGAAGTGTACTCTGTGTTTGAGTTAAATCGTTTCTCTACATTTGTGCTTGCATTTCGGAGCTGAATCGGATGAGAACGTGCTTCATTTCCTCGACTATAACCTTGTTTCACGGTTGTTGACTTCCGATAGTATTTTATTACCCAATCTCTGCTCTCTACATTGTTTTGAAAGCAAGGCACATAATCTGCATAATCTTCGGCCCGATTTGACGCCGAGAAAGCTTTTGTGCTGCTGAAACCCTGCGATCGTTTTCGTAGTTATGTCCACAGAACGAGGGCGAAGCGAAACGATTTTCCCAGCATTGTCGAAGTGTGCATGGGCAGAAATCAGAGACAGCCAGCGGTCAATTTGCGGGCTCATGCCTGTTTTCGATTTCTTTCAAAATGATAAAATTGTGTTAAAAGTAGAGAATCAAGCTTTAAAGTATATTTTATATCTTTAAAGGTGATCTAAAAGTACCAAAAGCCTTCTTTCTTTAAAAAAAGTGTTGCGCAATCCCCATACGTTTTAGTCACGCTTGTTGTCACGGGTTGTTACGGACATCACACCAAAGCCAGATAAAATATAGAATCTGCTATCTTTACAAAACAGCGGTTTTCCCACGTATCATAACATGCTCCATGTAAGCTTTCCCGACTTTGATGTTCAAAAATGGTGGACTCTTGTTTTGTGCTGCAGAAGCGGCAAAAACTGTTCATTTCTTCGGCAATTTCGGGCGCCATTGGCTCATAAATTCCTCAATATCTTTAACTTCTTGAGGAACTTTTTGGATGCAACATTCTGCCGTAGAAATGGTTTAAAATGAAAGATAATAGGCCCAAGTTTGTACCGCGATGCTCGCAGGTCTTCGGCGGCACTTTTCTCTTCGCGTACAATGGCTTCAATGTTGGTAGCCGATATACAGTGTTTGTATGGCGAGATCAATATGACTGTTGTATGGCGCTGGGGTAATTTGCCGAGTAACCGAGAGGAAATGAGTAAGAACCTCAAAACTTCGCACAAAGTAGCCTTATCCTGCCACAATAACATACCGATGCTCGCAGGTATGAAATTCCTTTTCACTCCAATGTAATTTGTAAGAATTTCTCTCCCGCCATACAAATCCTTATTAGAGTCAGACATGTTTAAAGGCCCTTAGGATCCACAATGCGCATGCTAAGCGGCCATGCTGTCCTTAATTTCTGCCCATGGGGACTTGGCACAAGTAACGATGACCGATATGTCAGCTTAGAATCTTGGTCGTGGCATTGACTATCGCTATCTGAGCCACTAGATGAATCCTGGTATCGATAGCTCGGTCGTTCGTCAAGCCTTGCTTGAGACATCATGCGATGGCGAAAACCCTCCAAAACGATATAAAACTAAGACTAGAATCAATTGAAAAGTCATCGGCACAATCAAGCAGGTACAAGAACACTGGACTGTGGTGAACACGTGATGTTGCCTAAGCTCACGAGACAGGAGTTGGTACCGCTTCCCCCC